CTTCAGTTTTGTTCTCAAATCATGGGTTTTCCAAGAAAATGGTCCAAACATTCTCAAAATGATAGGTTTTTGACATACCATTCAATAATGTTTTTGATATCAACACATCACTGCTGAGTTTCATTAGGCGATTGTCTTTAAACTTCAGTTCTAATTGCTCTCGAGGACAAGATATTTTGTGCTAGCATATAGCCTGGTCTCAATGTGAGAAGTCTCAAACCTAACAGGTTAACTTTTGCAGACTGATTTGTTTCTAGCACCACATATTCATTGAGCGATTGAGAGGTTCAATGTTGATATGAGCGGCAATACTTTTAACAGATTATTATTACCTTTACCTACCAGCTGATGGGTTGTGTTCTTTTATTTTTCCTTTTGTTTGAGAGGAGGGTTATGGAGTCTGGCCTGTGTCTTTTCTTTTCTTTTATTTACTACTGCGTTTAGGATTCCTCGGTTCATGAACTAGTACATTTTATTTCCACCTCAACCTGATCTGCCTTCCTATTTTCGAGGCACTATATATATATATTTCTAAGAGTAACTCGGAATTTTATACTAATAATAATTGGTATTTGTATGTTTCAGTTGAGATGTGTTGATAGGATAGGATAGGATAGGAGGCAGATTGTTTATTTGGGCTGACTTGTGGATAAACACTTTTCCATTGAAATGAATAGAAGCAGTTTATTTGTTTATGTTTTAGTTGACATGTGTTGATAGGATAGGATGGGAGGCAGATTGTTTCTTTGGGATGACTTGTGGATAAACACTTTCCATTGAATTGAATAGAAGAAATTTATTGGGGTTACTTGTGTCAGCTTGTGTTAGCACTTATTTCTGAATGAATGAAATAATAAATATCATCTTCTTTTCATTCGTCACAACTTTGAACTTGCAAGTAGCAACCTGCAAGACCAGACTAGCTGAACCCCACGCGTGGTACATTAGTCATTACCACTAGTTTGGGTGTATTAATTTCCTTCATCTCATTTGCACACTAATTAATTAACCAATAGTAGTTTTAAAATTAAGTAATTTCTTTCTTCTTTTGAATGTTTCTCTGAAAAGGACCTGATAGGACCATGATGCCACAATACAGAGTTACAAACCTGATATATATCAGATCAGGGATAGATCATTAGGCTCTGAATTTGAACAAAGTCAGTTTCCACCTCCTTTCTTTCTTTCTTTTCATGTCCCGTAGATTGTGGATACAGCGCTGCAAACGTGAAAGACAGAGAATTGTCCAGTTCTTAAGTTTGAAGCTTTTTCGTTTGTTCTGTTCAAAAAATGGAACCAAGAATTCAGTTGCTTTTTCTTCTCTTCGTTTTTATCCAACTTTACATCATAACAGCAGTTACTGATCGTTATGATGGTAAGTTTGCTTCTTATTATTATTGTTTAACAAAACTTTTCTTGATTTGGGAAATGAGATATTTCTTCTGCAGACGTTTCTCTTTATCATCTTCATTTGGAGAAAAGGAAACGAAACCACGAGTCAATTAATATTGAATATCAGAAGCTTCCTAATTAAATGATGATTATAGACTTGATCTTCATTTCTAGATTGCTCATTGTTACCCTTGCAATTTATTAAAGCGGTTATTGTGGGTTGCTGGCTACAACTAGAAATAGGAGCTG